AAACAGTTTTGCTAAATCCTACCTACAGTAATTACTGACAATAACTCACTACTCTTTCTTAATCGTATTTATGAATTTCTTATATACTGTAATTAACTTAATTATTAAATTATGATTAATACGATTTTTATGCATAGTATATAAATAAAACATACATTACCGTTCAAAAATGTGTTTACAAATTAACAAACAAACTAATACTTTTATTTAGCAAGGACACACTAAATGAATCAAAAGTGATGAAAAATAAATTTCAAGTACATTTTAAACTTTCTATAAATCAGATAATTCTGAGGACAAAAAATTACAGGTACTACAAAAATATTAAGAATGTTTTTGACATTAATTGTTCATTGATGATAATAAGAAATGTTTCTTCAGTATATTAGAATGATTTATGAATAATAATTTGACAGTGAAGACTAAAATAGAGAATTCAGCTTTGCCATCACAGGAATTAATACATTTTTTAAATATATGAAAACAGAAAACAGATATTGTAAATTGTAAATATGTTTCACAAATGTATAGTTTTACTGTATTTATCATGAAATAAATGCAGCCTTGACCCCAAACTTCTGAATGGTAGTGTATATTTACAATAAATGTAATATATTAATTCAACCTAAATTAGCCTAACCTGAAAACATAACACAAAAACATCCAATACTCCCTATATTACATTTATTCACAACTGTGATGGCTAGAAATATTGTTACTAATTAAAGGTCTCTTGGTAACAGTGGTGGTAGTAACATGAACCTATACTGTCCATACCCAAATCTATGCCCATAGCTATAGACGTTGGAAAAAAACTAAAATATATCATCCATAAGCAAAAACCACCTCTTATGCATTAAAACCGAACAGAGCATGACATCCAGACAAAAATAATAGAAATAATAATTTGACTCATTCTTTGGGAGTGATTCAACATAGCCTACGGGATTTTGATTTAAGAGCAGCTGCTAAAGTAAGCAAACCAAACAAGTGTTGGACACAGTCATGTATTCAAACGAGAAGCCTATTTTGAGTTATACTGTTTTCATATTGAAAATCTTCTCCAAAGGAAAACTTGCATTGCACAACTCAAATTTAAAACAATACATTAGGATGAACAAAATATTACACTGAACCGGTTAATTGAAGATGATATCAAGACCAAGGGTTTTTAAATTGGGGTCCAGGTACTGCCAGGGTCCACAAGGGAGTGGATGAGGGTACATGGACAAGTTTAGAAAGGCAGTGTATATCTAAATAAACTAATGCATTTGATTAAAATAAATAAAATAACATTTAATCAATTTACTAATAACTAAAACAAAAAGTAGTGATAAATGACATTTAATTTAAATACATTTGATTCAAATAAATTGATACAAGTAAAAATATATATGTTTATTTATAGTAATAAAGTAAATAAAGTAAAAAAGTGCATAAACATAACTAATAAACAAATATTAAAACAAATAAATTAATTGATACAAGTATATAAAGTTTGATTGAAATGAATAATACGTTGAACAGTAGTAGCTAATTTTGTAACATTTTTTTTTTTTTACATCTAACAGTATGCTATTAAACATTTTAGGTTAAAAAAAAAAACCCACAATGTAACAATCAAAACAAAATATTTAGCAAATAATATTTACAATCTAAATTTTTCAAAGTATTAATTGGGCCTTGATTGTGATTTTAACAGTAAAATACTGTAAAAATGCTACAGTAAAAACCTGTTAACTGGTTAACAGTAAGTTTCCATACTATATTCGGTGAATAAATGTAATTACATTTAATGTAATTTTACAGTAACATACTGTTACAAATATACGGTTTTTGGAAGTGAAAAAGAAAAAGTCATCGTATAATTTACAGTGACAAACCGTAAATTGACACTCACAGAATTCCCTGCATGACACTTCATATTTGATGGGTTTTTTGTTGTTGTTGTTGAAATAACAAATGTTTCTTAGTTTTTTCTTACCAGTTGTGTACATTAGGGTTTAATTCTACATCTAATGTTGTTAATTCAATGTTTATTGCATTATTTCAGTATCACGTGTGTCACCATGATGGTGTTTAGTGTTTGTATGAAAGAGACTGTGCACATTCTATATATAGGTATTGCCCTCCTCAGCTCGTAGAAAAGCTGTTTGTGATGAGCTTTGGTTCATCATGTGACTTTCTCATCACCACCAGTTTTTGGTGGTTATCAGTGCATTACAATG